AGGTAAAAGTACAGAATGAACTAAAAGAAGATAGAAAAACAAATAACTCTTTTATGGCCAATATTTTCCGGGGAAATTTAGTTTCACAACAAGTGTTTCCCTATCCAGATGTTCTTAGTCCAGAGGACAAGGAGCTAACACAAAGCTTATCGGAACCTTTTATAAAGTTTTACGAAGAAGTTAATAATGCTGCCAAAAGTGATGAAGATGGCAAGACTGATGAAAAAACCTTGGATAAACTGTGGGAATTGGGAGGTTTTGGCATACAAGTGCCACAAGAATATGGTGGTTTGGAATTGAATAATACACAATATGGACGTCTTGGGCAAATTGTGGGTTACCATGATTTGGGTTTGGGTGTTACATTGGGTGCCCATCAAAGTATTGGCTTCAAAGGCATCTTATTGTATGGCACACCCGAGCAAAAAGCCAAATATTTGCCACAAGTAGCTACCGGAAAAGTATTTGCTGCATTTTGTTTAACTGAACCCAGTGCCGGCTCTGATGCCAGTTCTATTAAATGCAAAGCTGTTAAATCGGCCGATGGTAAACATTATATATTAAATGGTTCCAAAATTTGGATTTCCAATGGTGGAATGGCCGATATTTTCACAGTATTTGCTCAAACGGAAGTTGTGGACAAAGTCACGGGCGAGAAAAAAGAAAAGCCTACCGGTTTCATAGTAGAACGAGCATTTGGTGGTGTTACCAATGGTGCTCCCGAAAAGAAAATGGGCATTAAAGCTTCAATTACAACAGAAGTCTATTTTGAAGATGTTAAAATACCCGTTGAAAATGTGTTGGGAGAAGAGGGAGAAGGTTTCAAAGTGGCCATGAACATTTTAAATAATGGTCGTTTTGGCATGGGCGCCACCATGTCGGGAACCATGAAATACTGCATTGAAAAAGCAGTGGATCATGTTAACAATCGTGTACAATTTGGTAAAAAACTTAAGGAATATGAGGCAATAAAAGAGAAAATTGCCCAAATGAATGTTTTACAATATGCCACAGAATCGATGGCTTTTACCATCTCACAAAATATGGATTCTGGTAGTCAAGATTATCATTTAGAGGCAGCCATATCAAAAGTATTTGCTTCAGAGGCAGCTTGGCATGTGTGTGATGAAGCTATACAAATACTCGGAGGTATGGGTTTCATGAAAGAAACCGGCCTCGAAAGAGTAATGCGTGATTTGCGTATCTTTAGAATTTTTGAAGGCACTAATGATATCTTGAGATTATTTGTAGCCTTGACTGGTATACAATATGCCGGTTCACATTTAAAAGAATTGCAAAAAGCCTTCAAAAATCCTGCTGCCAATTTAGGTTTAATATTTAAGGAAGCTTCAAGGCGTGCTGCCAGTACCGTGGGTATTGGAGGCACCGATCTTTCACCATTTTTAGTAACAGAACTACAAGCTCATGGCAAAGCCACCGCTGAATGTATAGACTTATTTGGCCAGACAGTGGAGTCACTTCTCATCAAATATGGCAAAAATATCATACACGAACAGAATATCCTTAATAGATTAGCTGATGCTGCCATTGATATATATTCCATGGTTGTAGTCTTATCACGTTCCAGTCGGGCGGTACAAAAACAACTTATTACCGCTGAACATGAAATTAACATGACAAAAGCCTGGTGTTATCAGGCTAATGAAAGATGCCGAACAAATCTCCGTAATGCTACCTCAAGTCAACAGATTTTACACTATAGACAATTATCCGAAATAGCGAAACAGATAACGGAAGCTGGTGGAGTAAATACGACACATGTACTTGAATAGAGAATTTAGAAACGCGATAGTAAATATGTTATTTATATGTTCTATGTATAGTAAATATATATTTAAAAACTGTTATTTCATAAAGATTTGTAATATATTTAAGAATAAACGATAAAATTAATAAGTATTTTGTGAAGTAATTAAATTGTTAATTATTTGTTTAACTTTTGATTGATTCTTCGTTCAAAAAGGGAATAAATTTCACATTTTTAATAGAAGGAATTGAATGGCTAAATTTTGACAAAATTTTTTATGAAAAATACGTTTTTGTACTGAAACGGTTTTTAAGAAAAACTGATTTTTGGGGGTATAAAACTGTTTTTAAGGTACAAAACTGTATTTTAGCAAAAAAAAAATGATTTTTTGGTGAAAAAACCGTTTTTGAAAATCAGGGTTTTTAAGAAAATTGTGGTGAAAATATGGTTTAAAAGAAAAAATAGACAAAAAAGTCACATAGAAGAGATGTATTTGGATTGCTCTTTACTTCATGATTTTGAACAACCAGACCATTTTATATTTTTTTTAAAGCAACGTTTTTTCTTTTAAAATTAAACACTTGCTTGACTGGATTATCCAAATTACTTTTCTCCGGCAGCACTGTACGCTACAATAAAAGATTAATAAAGACGATTTTTTTGTGGCAAGAAGTGAACAAAGTCCAAAAACATCCCATCCAAACAAAAGACAATAATTTTTCTTTACAAATTAAGTAAAATTTCAAGAAAATGTTAAAAATTACTAAACAAGTGTTGCTTACAACTAAAACTCCAAATTTACTGCGTTACTCCTCAGCTGCTTTGCCCAGGACTAGAGAACAACATGATGTTAAAGAAGGCACAAAAACAAATGCTTCTTTTATGGCCAATATATTTCGGGGCAATTTAGTAGCTCCACAAGTTTTTCCTTATCCCGATGTTCTGAGTCCGGAGGATAAGGAACTTACTAAAAGCTTAAAAGAACCTATTTTAAGATTCTATAAAGAATATAATGATGCGGCCAAAAGTGATGAAAATTGTAAAACAGATGATTTAGCTTTGGAACAATTATGGGAATTGGGTTGTTTTGCTGCACAAGTGCCACAAGAATATGGCGGTTTGGGTATTAATAATACACAATATGGGCGTTTGGGACAAATAGTGGGTTACAATGATTTGGGTCTAGCCATCACTTTGGGAGCCCATCAAAGTATAGGATTCAAGGGTATCTTATTATATGGCACTCCCGAGCAAAAAGCCAAATATTTGCCGCAAGTAACTACCGGCAGAGTATATGCTGCTTTTGCTTTAACAGAAGCTAGTGCTGGTTCCGATGCCAGTTCTATTAAATGTAAAGCTGTGAAGTCGGCTGATGGAAAACATTATATATTGAATGGCACCAAAATTTGGATATCCAATGGTGGTTTTGCTGATATTTTTACTTTATTTGCACAAACTGAAGTTGTGGATAAGACAACAGGAAAGAAAAAGGATAAAGTAACTGCTTTTATAGTAGAAAGAGCTTTTGGTGGCTTAACTAATGGTCCACCGGAAAAGAAAATGGGTATTAATGCCTCTAGTACCACAGAAATTTATTTGGATAATGTTAAAGTTCCGGTGGAAAATGTTTTGGGCGAAGAAGGTGAAGGCTTTAAAGTGGCTATGAATATTTTAAATACTGGCCGCTATGGCATGGGAGCCATACTATCGGGCAGCATGAAATATTGTATAGAAAAGGCAGTAGATCATGTTAATAATCGTGTACAATTTGGTAAAAAACTGATGGAATATGAGGGCATAAAGGAGAAGTTGGCACAAATGAGCATGTTGCAATATGTAACAGAATCAATGGCCTTTACCATCTCACAAAATATGGATGCTGGCAGTCAAGATTATCACTTAGAAGCAGCCATATCAAAAGTATTTGCATCCGAAGCAGCCTGGTATGTATGCGATGAAGCCATACAAATACTCGGCGGCATGGGTTATATGAAAGAAGCTGGTTTGGAAAGGGTTTTAAGAGATTTACGTATCTTTAGAATCTTCGAGGGAACAAATGATATTTTAAGATTATTTGTGGCTTTAACGGGCATACAATATGCTGGTTCCCATTTGAAAGAATTGCAGAAGGCCTTTAAAAATCCTGCAGCCAATTTGGGTTTAATATTTAAAGAAGCTTCACGACGTGCTGCCACAACAGTGGGTATAGGCGGCACCAATTTATCACCTTTTATAGTAAATGAATTGCAAGCTCATGGCCAAGCAACTGCCGAATGTATAGACTTATTTGGTCAGACAGTGGAGTCTCTTCTCATCAAATATGGCAAAAATATTATAAATGAACAGAATATCCTTAATAGATTAGCTAACGCCGCCATTGATATATTTACAATGGTTGTGGTATTATCACGTGCCAGTCGAGCGGTAGAGAAAAAACTAGCCACCGCTCATTTAGAACTAAATATGACAAAAGCTTGGTGTTATCAGGCTAATGAAAGATGTCGTACAAATCTACGCAATGCTACTGCAGCACAACAGCTATTACATTATAAACAATTGTCGGAAATAGCTAAAACTGTAACAGAATGCGGCGGCATAAAGACGACTCATGTTTTGGAATAAAGACTTTTGAAACGATTGAATATTTTATGCATGAATTTATTTTACTATTATTTTAACATATTTCGAATATATTCTTTTATTTATTATACACATTTAATGAAACACTATTATATTATTATTTTATATACACTGTATCTGATATGTTCCAGTGCTGGAGGTTTTTGTCCGAATTAGAAAAACATGCCAATGCTACTGGAACAAAGTTATTAATAAAATATATTATTTATCCTGCTAATTAAGTTGTTCTTTTAATCCGGAATCTTATTTTGTTTGTAAGTATAAGGATTTAAAGTGGTTTTTCTAAATTTCGAAAATTCGAATTTAATTTCAAACTTTCTTATATTTTTCAAGAATGTAAATTTAATAACTTTAGTAAATCCGAAGTAATTTTCGAATACAGACAAATTTATTGACATTTAACAAATTTTTGTCAATTTCGAAAATCGAATTTTCGTATTCGTCCTAATTTTATAAAATTTTGATAAAAACCTAAACATGTCGATGTTTAGATGGGTTTAAATTCTAACATATTACATACATTTTACCTAATTTCCAAAAAAAAATATTGAGATTTTTTCAAAAATCTTACTCTAATAAAACAACATTTTCAATGATAAAAACCTCTATATTTATTTGATTCTATTAAATACATTTTCTTTGTTTATGAATTTATATCAATAATATATATCAATATCAATAATAATAATTACATTTTAAACTTATGTAAAACATACCTTACAAATTATATGAAAAATACTCTAGGGTACAAATAAGTTTCATATTAAACTAAATAGTATTTACCACTTTAATTTGCCTACTTCATTTATCTCCGCCTGCCTTAAAACCTCCTCAAATTTCTCTTTAATTTTCTCATGTATATTCTCCGGACTTTGCCGGGCATCAACTTGATACCAATACTCTTTCTCCTTCTCGTAAATGTCCTCAAAAATTTTGGCAACTTTCATTTGAAATTCTTTTTTCTCATAACGTTCCTCACCATAATTGCCACGATCCAGTAAAGCATCTGCTTCAGCCTTTAAATAGAACACAATATCTGGTCTAGGCAAACCATTTTCAGGACTCTTACACCAATCCAAAGACATACCTTTGGCCGCACTATACACTATACCCGAATAAGAGTAACGATCCACTACTAGAGTAGTGCCCGACTTTAATAATTTCAATATTTCATTTTTATGTTCCCATCTATTGGCGGCAAACAACAGGTGTATAGTTTCATCATTTAAATCTTGTTTATTCGTCAAATAACCATTAATTAGCTTTCCTATATCAGAGGTACGTTCGGGGAATACCATGTGTTTCACCGGTATAGCAGACTTTTGTAAATGTTCCACTAACAGACGTGATTGTGTGGATTTGCCACAGCGATCACATCCCTCAAATACTATAAATGCACCACGTTTAATTGATGAAGTCATAATTGCTTTGTGTGTTTGTAATATATTTCCGGAATTTAAGGAATGTAATCAGTTCCGTTGGAGTGTTTTTTAGAAGATCACTTTTGTAATTTGGGAAAAACAAAAATAGCCGGTCAGATCCCTGCGCTGACAAATATTAACGGCGGCGGCGGCTGACGCTAAAAATGTCGACAGCTGCATAAAATCGACTGTAAGCCAGCCATGTTATCAGCTAAGTTTTTAAATTTTCAACGATTTTAAATAAAAACGAAATTCAAATTTAACAAATTAAAAAAATACATTAAAATTTGTTTAAATTTAGTATGATAACAATAATACAATTAAATTTTTCAAAATTTAGAAAACCTAATTTAACAAAATACCGAAATATTTGTCGAATTTTTAAGATTTTTTGTATATCGTCACCTAACATTTTTAAAATTAGTAGCGAAAGTAGCGAAAAACTATTTAAATTGAAAAGTTTGTTTCTATCAACGCGATTTATTTCTAGTAAATAAATAAATTGTTAAATAGTGAAACCTATCATTTTGGCATATATAAAAATTGATAAATTGGACTTTTTACCTTTAATATTTAAATGTTTTTGTAGGTAGGGCCTTTTGTTTTTTGTCAAAAAAATCGGTAATTTTTGTCGGAGGACTCCAATTTTTGGTGTGGACATTTGTTTTGATGCAATATATTACAATCAACAATAAAATCGATTTTGAATTTTTGGTGAGTTAGGGCCGTTTGCGTTTCAGGTATACATACGATATACATATTTATTTTCGATTGTCACAATTTACCATAACTAATTAACATTATATCGAAAACAACACATCTCTAATTAAAAAAATTAGTGATGCCATATTTGTATATATTTCCTGTAGAAAATACGAGAAATTTGCAAAAAACTAAACTGAAGAAAATATTAAACAATAAATAACAAAATCGTTTGTAAATAAAAAAAAAATATATAATAATTTCCTCAAAATGGTACACAAAATGGAATGGTATGTAGGCACCGAATGGAAACTCGAACGCAAAGGTTTATACAAAAAAGTGCTGGCGCTGGAATTTACAAAAGTAGAAAAGCCCCATCAAGTGGCTAAAGTGGTAATTAATGTTGAACAAGTAGAGAATCTCAAGGACAGGGAAACGCAATGGTTAAATGCAAACACTCTAAACAAAGATCAAATCATGGAAATGGGCAGCGCAATAACACCAATTGATTATTATTTGGAAATCTTGGTGCAGCAAATGATGTTGGGTGAAACAGCAGAGTGTACTATAAAAACTAAAACTCCCGGAGAGGATGTAAAAATAGTATTAACTTTACAGGAAATAAAACAAACCAAGGGTATACAACAGTTAACCGTACCAGAAATGTATGAATTGGCTTCAAAGTATAAAGAGAATGGAGTGAAAATGTTCAAAAAATATCCCATATTCGCCCATGAATACTTTGCCAAAGCCGCCAAGTGTTTAATATCCTATAAGAATTTCGAGGGTTTAACTAAAAAACGCGATGGTGTAGCCGGCAAAGATATGCAGGAACTATTCATACAAATACAAACCAATTTGGCTGCTTGTTTACTCAATGAAAAACGTTACGATGATGTGCTGTATCAGACCAGCTTTGTGGACACTATGAATGCGCCCTCGGAGAAAAGTATTTACCGCCGTGCCATGGCCTATTATCACATGCACGAATATGAATTGGCCCAAAAGACCATAGAGAAAGTCGCAGATTTTAAGGATAAAAAAGAATTTGCCAATTTGTATCAAAAGACAAAAGATAGTTGGAAGAATAGTAATGCCCAGTATAAGGGTATGGTACAAAAAATGTTTGGTTAAATTTATCTTTCAAAAATTTATTTAAATATTTGTATTTATAATAAAAAACTAAATTTAAGTTATAAAATTTGCGGTTTATTTTCTTTTATTAAATTTAAAAGATTTATTTTCTTTAAAACCATTCTTAAAACCGCCTTTCTTATCTTTACCGCCAAACTTTTTGTCCTTAAAGCTGTTGTTATCTTTAGAGAAGGAATCCTTCTTCTCCAATTTGGGTTTTTTATGATTCTTCAAACTGTGTGGAAGTTTTGGTCTCTTACGGCTGGCTGGTTCTGTGGATTTGAATAATTCTTCATCTGGTTCCTCACCCACCTCTTCCTTGTAATAAACAGCATCATCTTCCAAATCGCTGTACTTATTTTCTTCTTCCTCTCCTTCTGTTGCTGCCGCCGCGTTTTGTTGTGAATTTTTATTTTTCTTTTCCAATTCCTTTAGTTTCTTAGCACGATTTTCATTCTGTTGTTTTTTACGTTGTTCCTTAAGTTTTTGTTTCTTTTCAATCATTTTACGCAGTTCCTCTTTCTCCTCCTCTGTCTTAACAATATGATCGTGGTAAAGTACCTCACCAGTTAATAAACCTTCCTCAATTTTCATCAATTGCATGGTCATACGGGGACCTATTTCATACAGTTGTACAGCTGATTTGTTATTTTCCAAATTACCTTTGCGCTTGAGAGTTTGAGGCAAAACTACTTGTGAATTTTCATCATCTTCGGCCTCTGATTCGGAGGCATTGCCATCTCTATTATAAATTAATTATATTTTAATAAATTAATCGTTTATGAAATAACTCTCATTTAAACTAAACTTACTGCATTATAAAATCAGCAATATCTTCACATTTAGCCAAATTGGGTATTTTACCCATGACCAATTTCTTGACACCCTTTGTTAAACCCACCGGTACCACTTGTATGGAATAGTGCCGCATTTCGACTAAACTGGTTTGAGGATTATACGAAAACAACACACATCTTCTAATAGTTGCAATATTGACCTTAAAATAAAAAAGTTAAAAGTTATTAAAAATCATTTCTCTTTTCTTTGTTTACTTTCAAACTCTCACCTCTGCCAAATTTATAGCTGGAAACATGTTTTGAAATGTGGAAGCCATCAATTTTAAATGTTTACCATCCCCTGTAAAATTATTCATCACCACCAAAGGTGAATGTTTGAAAATATCTTCATCCACAAATTGTTTCTTATTTTGTGAGATAACATCCCGAGCCAACGTGAATTGATGCACTTTAAATGTCAAAGTGGGTCCGCGCGGCAACCTTAAAACTTTAAAAGACAATTGTGTGGCGGCCTTATTGAAAATACCCATATGTGAGACATGGAAAAAGCTACTAACAGCCACAAAATCCTTAATACGATTCATTTTCTTTTCTTTCAATTCACTGGCCGTAAAGGGTTCCATAATACGACGAAAATCTAGTGTTAAATCCGTTATATACGGGCAGGATAGACCGCGATGTATGATAAAGGAATGTGGTGCCTCAACCAATTCACTTGGTTCACTTTCCTTAAAGGCAGCGGTACGTTTTTTAGGATGTTTCTTTTTAGATCTACCCATTTTATAATTTAATATAAATTAATTTATTTATTGTAAAAAAAAAGAATTAAATGTCTTGCACCGCGTGTTTTTCTTTGAAAAACGAAATCAAAACAAAAGAATAACACGTGAAATGTCAAAATTATGGGGTATGTTTAGTTATTTTGGTTTTTTCTCTTTATGTTTTGTGGTGTATGTTCAGTTCAGTTCTAAACATTGTTGAATAACTAAAAATACTGGCAACCTTTGAGTTAGTTTAACGGCTAATTTAGTAATTTATATCATATACATAAGAGGACTACAGATTAGAATACAGCAAAAACTATGGACTTAATATAGTCTAGTCTATATATTATAGTGTTCATGGACTAAACTTTATTCCTGACAATAGGCTAGACCTGACAATAAGCTAAGACTTTAGGCTAGACTACATTCCAGAAAATAGACTAAATTCTAGACAAGACTCTCGCCCAGACTATTGACTAAACTATAGTCCAGACTATAGACTAAAGAATAGTTCAGATTCCATTGTAGTCCAGACTTTGGATTATTGTTCGGGCCATATACAAAACGATTCTACAGACTATAGTTCAGACAACAGGCTAGACTACAATCGAGACTATTGAATTGACTATAGTTCAGATAGTAGACTTTACTATAGCCCAGACTAGTCCAGACTAAACTATAGCACAGAATGGATACATATACACTACAATCCTCAGCCTTTTTCCTAAAGACTTCTTTTTATCTCTACAAACAAACAAAAAAGCCCCCACTTGTTTTAATTGTTCAAAATTTTAATTTTTATTTCATTTGAAATTATATTTAAATTTTATTTTTTGTTATTTTTCTTTAAATTACGCGCAAATATATATATACTTTAATTTTTAATTTAATATTATATATTTTTGCTTTTTTAAATTTCTTATCTTGTTTGTTGTTGTTTTTGTTTTATAAATTTAAAATGTAAAAATATTAAATTTATATTATAAAAAATGTTATTAAGAGGCGAAACTAAATCAAAAAAGTCTTTTTCAAAACTGAAATATATAGCAAATCAATATAAAGACAATAAAAAAAAAACCGTTAAAAGAATTACAAGCGAAAATAATAGTTAGGTTTTGGGTGTTGGTTGGCGATGATTTTTAAATAAAAACTTAAGAAATGTTAAACAAGTATGAAAAAGAAATATAAAGTGTGTAAAAAAGCCAGCGGCGAGCATAAATAAGAAAAGATTTTCTTTGAAATAAAAATATGAAACTTTTGCTTAAAAAACTTGTTTTTGTTTTGATTTGTTTTCTTTTATATACTATAATATAATTTTTCTTTTTTTTTTGTTTTCTTCTTGAAAAGGAAAAGTTTGCTATATTTTGGATAAATTTATTTTAATTTAATTAAAGAGGGGAAAGAAGAAATAATAGGAGAAATAATTTAAAATATTTAAAAAAAAATCCGTTTTTGTTTTTCAAAAAAAGAAGCTTTTTTGTTTCTTATTTTGTTTTTAAGCTTTCAAAAAGGATGTTACATTATGAGAAAGCTTTTGTTTTGGATTATAGTTGGATTGTTGTTGTAGTTTTTGTTTTCATAGTTGTTGTCACACTAAATAACAGCTTCTTAGAGAATAGTAATGGAAATTATATTTAAAAGATAACATGGGCTTTTAGCGTGTTTCTGTTGTTGTTGTTGTTGTTGATTAAAGGTGTAATAATTGTTGTTGTTGTTGTGGGGGCAGCTATAAGGCGGTCACTGACAGCACTGTTTGCGTACATCATTAGTAACAGTCGGCTTAATATCAATGGGTACATCATTGCCGGGACGAATAACATCACCTTCCGGAGGATCACGTATTTGTTTTTGAGAAACAATGCGATAAATTTCTAAAAACAATTACAAAACATTAATAAATTTCCATTAAATAAATCGAAAGCAATCTTATTCTTACCTGTGAGTATATTCTGGAATGCAGTTTCAACATTAGTAGAATCTAACGCTGAAGTTTCAATGAAACTTAAGCCATTACGTTCGGCAAATAATTTCGCCTCATCCGTGGGCACGGATCTTAAATGTCTTAGATCCGATTTATTGCCCACCAACATTATAACAATATTTTGATCGGCATGATCACGCAATTCCCGCAACCACCGATCGACATTCTCGTATGTCAAATGCTTGGCAATGTCATATACAAGCAAAGCACCAACAGCGCCACGATAATAAGCTGAAGTAATAGCACGATAACGTTCTTGACCAGCTGTATCCCATATCTGAGCCTTAATTGTTTTACCATCAACCTACACACACACACACGCACACATAGTTTTTTAGTTTTAAGGACGAAATAGGAAAACAAAAGAACACAAATTAGTTTTAGAAATATGAAAAAAAGTAAGATAATTTTAAGGTGTTGCCTTTTGTTTACATTGATGATGTGGATGTTGTTGTTATATTTTATTATTCATAAATTTAAACCTTTTACCCAAATTAACAAAAATGTCAATGGTGTCGTTAACAAAGAGAGAAATAGGTTTTGTTTTTGTTGGTAAATGTGTTTTTAAAAGTATTTTGAGGGAATGTTTATTGCAAATTATTGTTTAATAATGTTAAAATATGAGCTAATTTAAATACATATTACGAAAAGGAAATTTTTATTATTTTTAAATTAACTTAATAATAGAGATAGTCCAGATTATACACTAGACAGTAGTCCATACTGTAGACTAGACAATAGGTCAACCTATAGACTAGATTATGGACTAAACCATAGACTAATTTATAGTCCAGACTATAGAGTAGACTATACAGTAGTCGACTATAGCCTGGACTATAGTTTAGTCTATAGTCTGGGCTTTAGTTCTGTCTATAGTATGGCCATGAACTACACTATAGACATAATAAAGACCAAACTATAGTCTATATTCTGAACTACAGTTCTGACTATAGACTAGGCTATAAACTAAACAATAATACAGACTATAGGCTAGACAGTAGTCCAGACTATAGACTAGTCAGTTGTCAAGACTATAGACTAGAAAATAGTCCAGACACTATATTAATTATGATTCAGATTGCAGTCGAAGTTATCTACAAAAAAAATTCTCTCATATTATTTTCATTATTTTCAACACCAAAACCTTCTAATAATTTCACAAATATTTCTAAAATCTTCCATTTCAGTCACGTACTTTAAGCATTCAACAGAAAAATGAAAAAGGTACGTTATCCCTTAATAGCTTAACTCAAATTTAAAGTTCTTTTATTATTATTTTTATTATTCTTCCTACAAACATATTTTACACATTAAATGAATTTGAGTTTATATGTACATATGTATGTACGTAGTATGTATTTATATCCCTGACCTAAACAATTACTTTGTTAACCTTTGCTGTGTTTGTGCAAAAAGAAAAAGAAGAAAAAAGGAAACAGCAAACGTCAGAAAAAAAAAGAAGTCAAAAGAGAGTGTACAAAAAAAAATCAACTATAAATTGTCGAATTTAAATTTATAGTAGAGTATCCTTATATTCAGTAGGAGCTAAAACACAAACAGTATAAAAAAAATCAATAATAATAATAAAAAGCCCCCACTATAAAGTCTCCCACTTTTTTGGTGTGTGCCTAACCATTCTATTTGTTTTGCTTGTACGTCCTTTTGGCGTTATAAGTATTATTTTATATGATACATTATCATGTACATATTTTTGTTTATGCATTTTTGTTTTTGAAGGTTTTTTTTTTTTTTTTTTGATAAATTTTGCTTTTCATATATATTTTTGTTACCTCTATACTGCGTGTGGCAAACTCCACACCAATCGTTGATTTCGATTCCAAATTGAATTCATTGCGCGTAAAACGTGAGAGTAAATTACTTTTACCGACACCAGAATCACCAATTAGTACAACTGAAAAGAAAAAAAGGAAATGTTTTGTTTAATAATATTAATTGTACATTTGAGCTATGAATAAGTGTATTGAAAGTTAGAGTTAAGATATAAATTATTATAAGTCGTCTATCTATCTATCTATCTATCTATCTATCTATCTATCTATCTATCTATCTATCTATCTATCTATCTATCTATCTATCTATCTATCTATCTATCTATCTATCTATCTATCTATCTATCTATCTATCCATCCATTTATCTATCTATCTATCTATCTATCTATCTATCTATCTATCTATCTATCTATCTATCTATCTATCTATCTATCTATCTATCTATCTATCTATCTATCTATCTATCTATCTATCTATCTATCTATCTACCTATCTATCTATCTACCTATCTATCTATCTATCTATCTACCTATCTATCTATCTATCTATCTATCTATCTATCTATCTATCTATCTATCCATCCATTATCTATCTATCTATCTATCTATCTATCTATCTATCTATCTATCTATCTATCTATCTATCTATCTATCTATCTATCTATCTATCTATCTATCTATCTATCTATCTACCTATCTACCTATCTATCTATCTATCTATCTATCTATCTATCTATCTATCTATCTATCTATCTATCTATCTATCTATCTATCTATCTATCTATCTATCTATCTATCTATCTATCTATCTATCTATCTATCTATCTATCTATCTATCTATCTATCTATCTATCTATCTATCTATCTATCTATCTATCTATCTATCTATTATTAATAATTCTAATTACCAATAAGTACTTTTATAAACAATTAAAACTCTTCTCTATAATTTGCTAGTCGCTCTTTTTCTTGCGATGTAATTTATAAATATGTAGGCCGTATTTGTGATAGTATTATCAGAATATATAAATATAGTAAAACTAAATTTTTTTATTAAAATATACATAAATATTACGATACAAATGTAAATATTTCAATTTAATCAAAATTAAAAGGCGTAGTTTAGTAACTGTATAAAGTAATAGTAATAAATATGAATGTCAAAAGCTAAATTCAAAAGAGTTATTAAACGAACAAAATAAATAAAATTATCATATTAAAAATAATTTTATTGAGTTGAGTTTTTAAGTAAACTAATCGGAAGAATGAATGATTTTGCAATGAAAGGGTAAATAGACGAATAGTGTTATTGGAAAAATTGTACACAGTTTTTATCAGATTTGTAAAATGATATTGTAAAACTATTTTATCGACAATATGTTGCCATATCGTTGGGCAACATGTAATGTTCTTTAGCTCCATACTTGACAAATATTTATAGCAACACTTAACAATAACACCGCAAAAACGCTAATAATTGAGGATTACGCCTTTTTATCCTGATAAAAAACTGACGTTTAGCATTAAAAAGAACGATAATTCTGTTTGATAAATTTTAAAATTATTAAATATCATTCAAAAAAATTTCTTGCATAAATAATAAAAATGAAATATACATAAATTAATATTGTTTGATATCTTTCTGTTTAATATTTATGTCTTTTGTATGCATTTAATACTTAAAACAATGTTGAGTCATGTTTTTTAGTAACATTTTGCTTGGCTATCTATCTATCTATCTATCTATCTATCTATCTATCTATCTATCTATCTATTTATCTTCTGATTTGAGTTTTTAGAATTTCTTTTGTTCCTCATAAAACACATCCTTTAAAAATACTCTTTAACATTTTACTTTATGACTTTGGTTGAACTTATAGTTGCAATAACAAAAAAACGCTTTTAAATACTACAAAATACACAACGACATTAATTGATGATGAGACTACACAATAGTAACACAAAAAAACTAAGGCATACTATAAAATTTTATAGAAAACGGAAAATTTAATAAATAAAGTAGCATTTAATTATTTAGTAAATTGATGAACCATAAATATGATGAGAAAATAAGAATAAAAGTTAAACAAATAAATTATTTTTACCACAGATATAAAAATAAGGGGGAGTATTATTAACATGAAGACAATCGAAGACTGACGATAATTTAAAAAAAGAGGCCATTTAAATATGTATATGAATAAATTTATTATAGGTATTTTGTGGTTACTTTAATAAGAAATTGTTATTTATAAAAAAATATATATTTTTTCATACTTAGTTTATGACTAATTAATTTAGTTTAAATAGCAAATTAGTGAGAACATTTGTATAATTTTTGTTTTACTTTAGTTAAGGAAATCCCACAGGACATTTTAAACTTGTTAACTACACATTTGTGAACAAGGTTTTTAGTTATAAAATAACACAATTAAATGATTACTTTTTTTTATTATACTAAAACCTCATAGCTCTTTTCTATTTGAAAAATGTTTGTAAAAGAAACAATGTGAAAAATACATTGTTTAAAAGCCCTATTGCTCTTTATACAACATACAAAAAAAAAATAAATAAAATGTTCTAGTGACTTGGAAACCCAATTATGATGACTACATATGTACATATCAACCCAGCAACCATACTAAAGAGCTGGCTCTATTAATCACTTCAAAACCAAATGTGTTGGGTATTATGATGCGAGGTTTGCGATATATGTATGAGAAATACCTACTTTGAACACCAAAAACAAATGTTGGTGTGAGTCATTGAATACTTTTGTTTTATTAAATTAAATACATTAATAAGAAAAAGTTAAAAAAAAATAATAATAAAAATATTCACATATCAGTAAATATTTGAGAAACAAGTTGTGTTTTAGCAACAACAACATGAATAAATAAAAATAATAAAATTGCACGATAACACAATACACAAGTCATCGAAAGTGTGAAATGCGAATGACGACAATATTTGCATTGAGTTTTTTTGGTGTATATTAGCTTGGAGGTTTTTGGGGGATTGCATTTGTTTTATAACATTTGTTCTACAAAGTCTCTGGCAGAGGGGTAAGGTTTTAAATTTACTTTTCTTAAGTAATTTAGAAATTAATGGAATCTTTGGAAATACTAAACTTAAAAAACACAAACTATTTTTGAAATCTTTTGACTCTCTTAGGTTTAAAATTATTCCGTAAGAACTTAAGCTTGTCCAGACACATTTCACTACCTTGCTATGTCTTTGAAAGGCCTTCAAAGCTTTCAAATACTCCTCTCTAGTACTAGAACATTAAGAAGTTATTAATGCATTTTAATTGCTTCTATTAATAACCAGAATATTATGTATTATTACCACAATTTTTCAACATTGTTTTTGTTTTATTAAATAATACAAATCTAATCAGACAAACTTTGGAATAATAAAGATAAAGCCAAAAGAAATTATCATCAATTGATAAAATAAAACAATTGAAAAAGAAAGTAAAAAACGGAAAATCAAAAAAAACCTACAATTATACCGGAGTACTATGTGAGAGAGTGGGACAGCAAAAGTGAGTAGAATATAAAAATCAAAATAGAGGATAAAAAACAGCTGAGTAAAAGAATTAAAATAAACGAGTTTTATGCAACGTGTCATATTAAAAAATAAAGAATTAAATATAACTAACAATAATATTAAATATAAATAGAGAAAATGAAAAAGAAATGAACTTCACCAAATAACTAGGTATTTACTCATACATTATCATACATACATACATAACTATTGTATATGAGGGATAAAAGTATTGTAAAAAAAAGTCTGTCAGTTTCTGTCATCTGTGGTTGTGGGGGAGTAATCACACTCGCAAACACATAATTATTCTCTCTCAATTATTCCACAATTAGCTAAAGTATTTTTATGTATTAATTTAACCTAAAATAACAAATATTTGCAAAGTTTAAAATTACTAAATGTTTACTCTTGCTGCTTGCATATATTTGTATAAAACAACTAATAAATTAGCTAATGACTTTAACAATTAAAACTCTGTGTTAGGAAAAAATAACACACTCAACCACACACAAAACATACGTCATCTTGTTAAATACAAAAATGCCAATATTGTTATAATATTGCCAGATGTTGAGAGAACTTTTCGCTTAATGCTGGGGGAAGAGGAAGGAAAGGTCAACACCCACTAAAATTATAGGGTATTTCTATATCAAAATATTGTAAATATTTTTCCGCCCAATATTCCAAAATTTGTTATTCAAAATGTAAAAAATAACATTAAAGAACATATTGAAAACACAGGAATTCATAAAACCAGGATTAAAAAAATATAAAAATTTTAAACATTTTCGATAGAATTTTAAAAATTTTGAAAATGTTCAATAGAAATGAAAAAAATATTGAAAAACGGTCTACAGAAATTTCATAATATTGAAATAGAAATTTTAAAATATTGAGGAAATTAAATAAAAAAAGTTTTACTATAGAAATAAAAAATATTTAATAAATGTTTATAGAAATTAAGAAATCTTGATTTTTAATAGAAATTTTTAAATTTTAACATTTTCGAAACAAATTAAAAAAAAAAATGGGTTTAATTTTTTTTAAACGAAATTAAATGATTTATAATAAATTATATGTTATTATTTCTCATATTATATCAGAAAAAAACAAAACATTGAGGGACTGTATTCGATAGACGATATCTCTCTTTTTCATGAAAATAGTATTGTGATGGCAAAATTTTTGAGGAAAACAGTCTCGCATCCGTAGCTCAAATTTTTTTTAATAATTTTATACCTAGTACATATTTTTTAATTTCTATATCTTTAAACATAAAATTTTATGAATGCAAATCAATCTATATTTTTCCTTCAAATTCTATTAATTTGGATAATTTGCTGTTGAAAATATTTTTTCTACTAATTAGGCGAAATTCGAGTTATCGCTCTGTATCAGTATAATAACGTTGGTCTTGGGCCAAAACAACAATTTGGTTTATTTTACACCATTAAATTTCATAAAATATGATATTTATATTAATTAAAACAACATTTTTAAATTTCATGAAAAACTCTTTTTGTTTATAAACATTTTCCTAGAAAAAGATCTATTTCTTTAATATATTTATAAACAATTTAGCAAATAATGCAAAATTTCAAATTCTCATTATAATTATTTATACCTATAATGGTATAAGATATAGCCGTAGAAATATATTGTAAAAAAAGTAAAAAAAACTTCACGAACTAGCGAAATAAGCAGTTTTTTGTAATCCTAAAAACTTGTGTTATTTATTATAGAGACTATTGAATATAGTCGATATATTGAATTGAAACTTTCAAATCCGGACGAGTACGGGAACATAAATTATATCTAACTCATAAATTATAGATTGGGTTTCCAAATAGTTTCCCAGATATGTACAAAAAAGTTTATGAATGAAATAGTTTTAACAGAAAGATTTCAACATTTTTTAAGTTAACAATGGAATTCCTCAGTATTCTGAAAATCGGGTTATCATTGACAAGTTCAACAATTAAAGAATAAAATAAATTCCTACTCAAAATTTACTCAAATATTTCCGTAGGAAAGCAATCTTGTAATAAAAAATCTGGCAACATTATTCTAATCAGTCAATATCATTTCTGACAGCAGAAGTTAGATTTTGCATTTAATACTCAATGAACAAATACAAAAACCTAAAGGGAAATTATGAGTAATTAAATGATAAATAGAAGAATAAAAAATAAACAATAAATAGCTTAAAATTATACTAAACTCCAATTTAAAAAGTTATAAATATCAATTAATAATTACCTTTGAATAAATAATCATATTCATCTTCCCTTGTGCCCATTTTGTTGTTGTTGTGTTTCCTTTGTTACTAGTAGTTTAATAAGTTTTTTATTGTTTTTATTTTGTTTGCAACTTTTTTTCTCAATATTATCCTTGTAATTTTCTTGTTTGCCTCTTATGCGTTATAAATCTGTATAACTTTATCTCCTTTTTAAACTAAATTCTTTTAACTTTCAAATGAATTATATATTTTTTTGTATATGCAATTTTTTACACATTTGTTAATAAAATGACCCCAAAAACATATCACAACACATACACCAACAATAAAAACATCATCATCCCGTTTCGTTGTAGTATCAAAGCAAATAAAAAAGCATAAGACCCAACAACAACACCAGCAGCAGCAGCACAAAGGGAGCAAGCAAAACAACAATAACAAGCACAAGAGAAACGTAGATTGATATTTGTGTTGTAGTTGTTTTAGTACAAAAGTTACAAGTGCAGCAGCCCCAAAAAAGAAGAAGCAGCAGCAGTGGCAGCGAAAAAGAAAGAAAAGAAGAAAACACCGTACAATGAGCAACGAACGACGAAGTCAATGATTAAACGACCAACACCAACAACAAAAAATCCGTAAAAAAATGGAAAAAAGAAGAGAAAAAATTTTCTATGTTAAAATTTTTTGTTGTTAAAAAAAATACAAAAACACTGTGAAAGAAAGAAAAAAAATGTTGGGCAGAATGACGGGCGGTTACTTTTTTTTATTTCTTTGTAATCACTTTCTTTGAAAAGAAAAATTAGATTTCATTTGTTTTACGTTTCTTAGCTTTTTTTGCTTTTTCTACTCAACACTTGTTATTAATTAGTTTGATTTTTAATGCTTATTTTTCTTTTATTAATTAACAGAAGTACGTTTAAAGATTTTGCAAACTAAAAAATTACAATTTATTCTACGTTTTAATATGAATTAATCACCTTTTTGCGACTTTTCGCGACGAACGTAGACACAAGAAAAAATCTCTCTTTTTTTCCTTGTTCGTTTCTGTACAAGTTCAATATGGCCGTTCGTTAAATTTTTTCTTATTGTTGTTGTTGGCTGCTGTCAATAGATTTTTATTCCCAACACAAAAATAACAGAGTTGTATAGGAATGTGTTGACATTTTAGTTTTCAAAGAGATGCCATATGGTTTTAAATAAGAAGTGTCAAGTAAAATAATCAAGTGTAGAGTTGAAGTAAAAAAGGTAAACTATGTAGGGGTTTGCTTAATGTTTTGTAAAATCGGTGTAATTTGAAAAGTAAACGTTATATTATTAAGGAAATTATAAATTTTTGTTTATTTTTGAAATAATCTCTCTTTTTTGGATTAAATAAATTAAATTTATTTTTATAGAAATTTTTTTATATATATAAAAAGTATTTTTATGTAAAACATAGAGTATATTTTCTTTTTAAATTCATTTAAGTACTAGTTAATACATTTTTAATTAATGTTGTATATAATACAGTATAGTTTAAAAAAATATTTAACAAAATAAATTATAATTTTACTTTTTGTAATACAAACGAGGGTATGAGTAATAAAAGGCCTCCCAGAATATAGGTCATTTGTGAGCCTATACACCAAAAGGCTATACAACCTACAACAGGGCCTATAGCACGAGCTAAAGCACCCAATGAACGGAAGATACCCAAAACTGAACCCTTTTGATCATCATTGCCATATTTTGAGACCAAAGTGGTTAAACAGGTGACTGTAAAGGCAGTAGCTAATGGAAAGAATGATAATTTCAGAATTTTGTTCAGAAAGTTCTCATATTTTTTAAGTTTTTACTTACATATGGCATATAATATCATGCCCATATAAAGTACAAAGGCAGAGTGCGCCAAACCCACTAATATAAAAGCGGGTACCAACAGGTACAAACTAAATACGGCATATTTTTGAACTTTTTGTTCGGGCAAACGTCTTACCACCGAACCCTGTAATACCGTCATGATAATACCTGTAAAAGTATAAATTTTGAAAATTTGTTGTTAAGGGAAACATTTTGGGGCTACTTACCGGTAGTTAGAAACATTTTAGCTTGATCCATAGAGTTATAGCCAAATTTATGATACATTAAGAATGTTACGGTAAATTCTAAACCCGAATACAGAAAGAGATAAACGAAATAAATCATTCCAATAGTTTGTAAAGATTTTATTTGTTTTTGTGAGACATTTTTAATGCTGGCAAATCTGAAAGAAAAAAGAGTATTAAATAATAGATTTTCATAATGCAGATTAATGTTTTATTAATAATAATTTTCCATTATTAAAAAACTCATTCATTATATTAATACAAACTAATTAAACAATATTGATAAACAACTCTTGTTAAAAATCATTAATGCATGACGGTTTTTTAACAAAAAATTTAATTGTAGCGCTAATGAAACCGGTATTTTAGCCCCATATTTGTTTTGTTTTGTTTTTTTATCTAAATAAAATATCAAAATTTAAATTTCAAGTCGCCACCACAAAATTCAGAATATTTCTCTACTTTACTGTTGTTTTAAGCAATTTTACTTTTTAGATAAGAAATACTCAAGTTATTGAATCATTTGTTGTTTATGGCGTATGTAAATCTTGTTAAAAAAACGTGCAGTCTAGCACAAGAATTTCATCGTTATTCACTGATAATTAATTAGAATTTTAAGTTTAACAAAAGTTGTGTAAAAGATAACAAAGATGAAACTTACCGAAATATGGAGGAAACATTGAGCAATTGCCAGGCATAGGAGAGGGAAGAAGAGATCTCTTTAACACGTTTTTCCTAAAAGAAAATTATTTAAATGTTGATTTTTTTAAGGAATTTACTAAATTTAAAAACTATCAAGAAATTGCTAAAAAAAAAGTTTTAGATATTCAAAAAATAAAAAATTCTAAATTTCGAAAAATTTTCTATGGAATTTAAAAAATTTAGAAACTTTAATTACAAAACTAAAATATTTTAAATATTTAAAACTATTTTCATTCACATACCTTTGGCAAAGTTTCCTTTAAACAAAACACCAAAACTAACAGATCACCCACAGCCAAACCAAAGGCCAGCAATGAAGGCAAAACAAACCAAGGACCGGTAGATTTATTCGAAAATATAGCAAACAAAGCACCAATCATGGGACCCACTATAAAACCCAAAGAAAAAGCAACACCCACCAAAGCCATGCCGCGGCCGCGAGTCTTTTCACTCGAAACATCCGTTATAATAGACATGCACAAGGAAATATTGCCCTTGCTCAGGCCACCAACAAAACGAGCTAAAACAAAAACAGCAAAATTACGAGAAAAGGCCCACAACAAATAAGAGCCAGCAATGCCAGTCTAAAAATTAAAGAAACAAACAAAAACAAATTTTAAAAAATTATCTAGTTTTATGAAAAAAAAACAAACTTACCGCACACACCACAATAACCGGTTTACGACCATAGTAATCTGATAAACCCCCCACCACAGGACTGGCTATGAACTGTAGAAAACTAAACATGGAGCCCAAGAAACCACCAAACAACACTGAATTATAACGTTCAGGTGCTCCTAACAGTTCTTGAAACCACCTTATTCGTTCCGTTAAAATGTTATATAAACCGGAACTATCATTAGACTTAAAGTATTCCAATAGCGAAGGTAATAAAGGCAATATAATGGTAAATGCCAACAAATCAAATAATAACGATATAAACACAACAAAAACCATGGGATTTGTTTTTTCCGTTTTATTTTGCACATGGGTGGGGTTAAGCCCAGCAGCAGTAGCTCCCTTGTCATCTCCTACAACATTATTATTATTTGCAGATGCAGCCACAGATGAATTCTGTTGTCTTCTCTGTGTCAAAGAAGAAGACATTTCCGCTTTGTTTTAGTGGAATTTGTAATTGATTAATTAAATGAAATTTGTTTTATTAGCGTGCGTGGGTACGTGCTTTTGATTGAATTAACGCTTAAAATCTGTTTAAACCATTTTTCTTTATCAATTGTATTTCTTTAAGAGCTTCTCTGAAGCTTGAGTAAGTAAAATAAAAACAATACAATTTACAAAGTGAAAGTTTGTGTGTGTTTTTGATTTTGTTTTGCCTTTGCTTTTGTTTGTGGTTTAGTGTTTTTGTTTATTTTAAACAAAAACAAACACACACATGAACTGTCAAGTGAGTGGCAAGAAGGTTGCCGGTAGTTGTAGAAAAGTAATAAATTTTAAATGAAAACAAACGATTTTAATTAAATAAGCAATTAATTAGACAAATATATTTATTTAATTAAAGTGGAAGTATTTCTAAAGTGTTTCTTAATTAAATTATTTAACATTTTTTGTCTAAAATTAAAAAAGATTCTAACGATTTTTTATAAAACGCCAATTTTAGTATAGTAAAGTATGGTAGTTTTTTATACAGCTGTTTGTATTAATCAGCTGTCATTCAGATTTTTTTGTTTGCAACAACACAATTTCAATTTTCCTCTAGAAAATTGATAAAATTTTGATTTTTTCCTACAAATTTATAAAAAACTAAATATAAAAATGTCGAAAATTACTGTGCAAGATATAGAAGCAGTGGATGATTATTGGGGACCTACATTTCGTTCAATTTTAGAAGGTATATATTAAAGAAAACTACAAATTATGAAGAACTTATAACACGCCCTTAATTTGTTTACTATTTTTAAATATTTTTAATAAAAAGGTGATAACAAAGAGTCCATTTCTGAACAATTGGAACAACGTATACGCAGTCATGATAAAGATATCGAAAGAATTTGTAATCTTTCCTATCAGGGTTTCATCGAATCCATACAAGAACTTTTGCAGGTGAGAACTCAGGCACATCAGTTGGCTACAGAAGTGCAAAGTTTAGATAAATCCTTGCAACAAATAAGTGCCTCACTCATACAACAAGGTAATGATTTGGTAAAAGCCAGACAAATAGAATCCAATTTAGCCTCGGCTATAGATGCTCTACAAGAATGTTTGCCTGCCCTGGAATGTTATATTAAATTCTGCCAACAGGCTTCCAATAAACAATACTATCAATCTTTGCGCACCTTGGAAAATTTGGAATTACAGCACTTGCCTAAGTTGCAAAGTTACAAATTTGTTACACAAATGCGTCATGCCATACCAGTGATTAAGGAGAATATAAGACGTTCCGCTGAGGCAGATTTTCGTGAATTCTTAGAAAATATAAGAAGATTCTCCCCCAAAATCGGCAAGGAGGCCATAGAACATACTAAGAAATTACAAAAACGCGACATTAACACCATCATTGAGGATCATAAGAAATCTTTGAAAAATAAAGAAAATGCCATTGATGAAGATAATCTGTCGGCTCAAGATTTAATTGATTTTTCTCCCATCTACCGATGTCTACACATATATACGGTATTAGGTCAACGGGAGTACTTTGAAAAAGATTATCGCCAACAGCGTAGAGATCAATCGAAATTGGTTTTACAACCTCCTCCCGGTATGCATGATAATTTGGATGCTTATAAGTTGTATATTTGTGCTATTGTGGGTTTCTTTGTGGTGGAGGATCATGTTAAGAATACTGCAGGTGATGTCGTCACTGCCGCCTATTTAGAGGAATTGTGGTCTTCTTCGTTAACCAAGTTCGTCAATGAGATTAGCATGAGTTCTTCATCCTGCACGGATCCTAATATATTGTTAAGGATTAAGAATTTGATAATGTTGTCCATTAATACTTTTAAGTGCTATGGTTATACGGTGAATATATTGTGGGAGTTGCTGCATAATATGAGGGATCATTATAATGAGGTAAGGTGAAAACTATGTGAGTTAAACATTTAAAAAATAGAAATTCACTTAAAAAACGAAATTTTACTAAAAACCCTAAATTTCATTAGAAATTCTATAATTTCACTAAAAAATCAAATTTGAAATTTCACTAGAAATTCGTAAGTTATTTTGAAATTTCACTAGATATGTATTCGAAATTCATTAGAAACCCAAAATTTGACTAGAAATTTGAAAATTCAGTAGTAATTCAAAGTTGCATTTAAAATTTCACTAGAAATTTTCATTTAAAATTCGAAATTTGGTTGGAAATTCGACTTTTCTCTAAAAATGCAATAGTTCAATGTAAATTTGAATCTTCACTAGAAATTCAAAATTTTATTAAAAATTTGAAATTTTCAATAGAATTTCAACATTTTTCTATTAATTTGTAATTTTATTGGAAAAAATTAGAAATTCAAAATTTTACTAGAAATTTAAAAGTTCACTAGAAATTCGAAATTTTACTAGAATTTCAAAATTTCACTAGAATTTCAAAATTTCACTAAAAATTGGACAATTCACCAGATATTCGAAAATTAACGAAAATTAACGAATCGAAATTTCACTAGAAATTCGAAATTTCACTAGAAATTCAAAATTTCACTTAAAATTCGAAATTTCACTAAAAATTCTAAATTTCACAAAAAATTCGACAATTCACCAGAAATTCGAAATATGAATCGATATTTCACAAAAAATTCCGCAATTCACCAAAAATTCGAATTATGAATCGAAATTTCGCTAAAAATTCCACAATTCTCCAGAAATTCGAATTATGAAATTTCACTAAACATTTTAAATTTCACCAAAAAATTTAATTTTTTTAGAAATTAAAAATTTCATTATTTAAAAATAAAACAATTATCTAGGTTTTACTTCAACGCTGGGTTCACGTCTTTCGGGATATACTCGACAAGGAACAATTTCTACCCATGATTGTGGAAAATCAAGAAGAATACGAATCCATAATCGAACGTTTTCCCTTTCACTCGGAACAATTGGAAAACGCCCCATTTCCCAAGAAATTTCCCTTCTCACGCATGGTACCCGAAGTTTATCATCAGGCCAAGGAGTTTATGTATGCCTGCATGAAATTTGCCGAAGATTTAACCCTCTCACCCAATGAAGTGGCTGCCATGGTACGCAAGGCTGCCAATCTTTTGCTAACTAGAAGTTTTAGTGGCTGTCTTTCGGTGGTCTTTCGTAATCCTAGTGTAGCTCTGCCGCAATTAATACAAATTATTATAGACACACAATATCTGGAAAAAGCCAGTCCATTTTTAGATGAATTTGTCTGTCATATGACTAATACTGTGAGCAGTGTAGCCCAAACTCCTTCGGCCATGTTTCATGTGGCCCGTCAGGATGCAGAAAGACAAGTGGGCATACGTATTTGCTCGAAAATTGATGAATTCTTTGAACTCTCCGAATACGAATGGTTACTGGTGGAACCACCCGGCAAAGCCTCTGCCTATATCACCGATATGATTTCCTATTTATCCAGTACATTTGAAAGTTTCTCCACCAAATTGCCCTCTATAGCTCAGACAGCCTGTCACCGAACTTGTGAACATATGGCGGAGAGAATCTGGTCTTTATTATTCGACGATGAGGTGAAACAAATCTCCACGGGTGCTTTACAACAAATCAATTTGGATCTGCTGCAATGTGAATTCTTTGCCGCCAAAGATCCAGTTCCCGGCTTAAAGGAAGGAGATCTTTCTAAATACTATTTAAAATGTCGCCAGCTGTTGGATTTGCTTACCATGGAAGAATGGGCCACCTATTTGCATGACTATGGCACCAAGGAAGATCGTTATCATTTGGTACATCCTCAATATATCATTATTATTTTGGAAAAGATTAGAGAAGCCGATAAGAAAACCATGTTTTCGGGTTTGCGCAAAAATGACAAAAAGAAATTATTGGAAACGGTTTTAAAACAATTGAAACATTTAGCCGAAAGACAAAATTAACTTTAAATTTTAGAAGAAAGAAAAAAACATTCCTTTGAAAGGATTTTTTATGAACATGAAAATTTTTCTAAATACTTTTTTTTTTAACAATTGGTATTATTTTTTGTTTTATTTTTAAAAGAAAATTTTATTATTTATTATGTGCTACCACTAATTTTTACTGTTATTTTAAGTTCGATTAAGGCAGAATATAAACTTGGCTTTATATTTATATGCGAATGAATGAATAAATAAAGGAAATTAAAAAACAAACTAATTCGTAGTTATTTATTCAACATTCAAATTTTAAAATATCGCTGAATATTTGAAATTTCACTTTACCAGAAATTCAAAACTTTATTAGAAATTCAAAATAAAAAATGAAAAGCTTTTCTCATAATAAGAATCATTTATATATTTTTTATTATTTATAATTTTTAATAATATAAAGATTATATACAAAGTGTAAGAGATTAATGTGAGTGTGTGTGTATGATTTTTTTCGTTTTATTAAATATTTTTTGTATTTTTTTTTAATAATTAAAGTAGTATTTTATTAAATATTGAATATTACAAACAGTAAACTATTTAATAATTGCGTATGCCTTTGACATTTACTCTATATGTATGTATATTTATTTAATTTATAATTAATTTTTATATACCATTACTAACTGTTTGTTTAATATTTTATTTTCTATTTGGATTTCTTTCATTTAATATTTAATAAAAATTACAATTCTTGTTAATGGCTACAATCGAAAGACAGAGAAAATTTGTTTTTAACTTTGTGTTACATTTTTTGTCTATTTTAAAGTTTTAGTTTTCTTTGACACACTACTACAAATACATATTATCTAATGCTTTAAGCTTTACTTACTATAAAAAAACGGGGGATTGTGTTGTTAAATATATAATTAATTTGTTTTGTTTAGTTATAAATTTATTTTTTGTTTATTTAATAATAGTAATAATATGCAAAAGTTATAGGTTTTCTAAAGATAAGAAAGAAAGAAAGAAGAACAAATTTGAAATGAATTGGAAATGTACCAAAGAACAAAATAATAAAATATAAATATTTACTAAAAGGTTTTGGTATTTTACGCGAAAAAATGTTAACAAAAACAATAATTATTTAAAAAAATAAATTTTTTGTATATTGGATTGTGTTTGGATGTGTGTGTGTTTTAAAAAAAGGGAATTTTTATCTAAGACACATAAAGATAATGATGACGATGTCAACTTTTTGCCTCTAAATGCTTGGGAGCATCGGCATACGTAAATTTTAGGCGAAAGGCTTCAGCAACTAAGACATTTATTTGACGATCAGACCAATTGTGTGTAGGCAGATTTTGTAGCAATAATAAAAGTCCCTAAAAATTAAGAGTAAAGATATAGTTTTACTGATAACAAAACAGTTATTTAACAAAAAAAAAAACATAATAAATGAAACTGATTTATTTACAAAAATAACAGCAAATTATGTTGTTTGGCACTAATGCACGTTTTTTTCTTTTTATTTCATTCTACTGGCTTTATATTAATATACTCACCTGAAAATCATTTTGTTGCATTAACTCCTCCTTCCAATGTAATAGGAATGCAGCACAAACATATAAATGAAATAAAGCAAAACCATCAGATTCAGCTAAATAGGTATCCCATAAACGTATGGTACAATGCAGAGGCAATTCACGAGTTAATAAATTATTCATCCAGCGAAAAGAGAATTGTAAATAGTCAACACCATGAGATTGTAAATGACGATGCAATGTTCCTACAAAAAAAATAAAAGAGACCAAATTCGAATTTTGTTAATTTAACGGAAAAGCACCGTATTTACCATCTATTCTTTGTATTAAATCCTTTAATTGATTGACCTTCTCCTGTATACCCAGTTGAGCAAATATATAATTATCCTGTATACAATCTAAGAATTTTGATAAACACCAAAATGAATCAGCTTCAATGGCATCACGAATTTCAACCGATAACGAGTTCATATCAAATTTTTCAATATCAGTTCCTAAAATATAATTGAAAAATATGATTCAATACAATTTGCATAATAATAGATTGATCTTTACCTGGCGGCAATTGTTCTTGTAAGAATACAATAAAAAATGGCGTTACTAAATCATTAATGCCTTGTACATAGCCCGAGGCTGGATGACGTATAGACCAAATGAATAAGACACGTTCAAACATTTCCTGAACAAGTTTTTGTTGGAAGAGCGATATTTGAGGATTCATACGTGGCACATCGATATGTATCTAAAATGACATAAACTATTTATAAAAGAGAAATTATACAATTATTGTGAGCTTACTTGTCTATAGGTATCCTGTTGTGATTCATCTTGACTATCCACTTTAAAGTAATTTTGTCTTAAATCCTGATAACCTTGACGTTTACTTTCCAATACCGCATTGCGTCTTTCTCCCGAGGGTGGTAAATATTTCGATAGCAAACGCCAACTTATACCGCGCATCTAGTAGATATTTGGAAGAAATTTAAAATGTTATTCTGTGTGTGAATGTATTGTTTAATCAATATTGTGAAAACCTTTCTGGGTATTCCCGACCAACTTAGTTTTTTCAATGCCACCAAATCCAATAGCGGAGAATCCAGTAGTAATTCAAATTTTTCAATTTTAGTTTCATATTCGGAATCTTGGGTGTTGGTAAATTTTTGCAGTTGGGGTCGTCCGGGTAGCGCTTGAATGTGACGTATACGAGGTCTGGAAGAACAAAAGTTATAAGAGTAAATCGGATAGAAATGTTAAAATTTTGTGAATTTTATGCAAATTTTTAACAGTTTTATAAAAATTCAAATTTTTAAAATTTTATATAAAAATTTAAAATTTTCAGTTTTAAAATAAAATTTTAAAATTTTTTGTAAATTTTATTTAAAATGCAAATTTTTTTATAAAAACTTTATTACTTAGTTTAACTTTTTTAGCGGAAACAAGTTATATCATGGAAATTGTAAAATTTATGTAATCTATTAAGGTAATGTTAAGAAAAACTTTTACATCATAAAAACAATTGGATAAGCAACCCCACATGCGAGAATTTCCGCGTAAAACAATAACAAATTATTGTGGTCTAATAAAAGCTTACCTCTGTTCCTGTGTTTCCACTTTACAATCCTTTTTATTAGGATTTTCATTATGTTGTTGCTGTTGTAGTTGTTGTTGTTTAGTAGCTGCACATTTGCCATCATAAGATTGTTGCTGTAGTTGTTGTTGATTAAGTGGCATTGGGTTGTTATTGCTCATAATATGGCCAGCATTATGACCCACAGCTCCTGCGTTCGAGGCTGTAGAAGTTTTATGTATTTCTATAACATTTTGAGCCAAAGTTTGTGAGACTTGACGGGAAATTCTAGGATCTTAACAAAAAAAATAAACAAAAACTTGACAAAAAAACTATAAAATCCTACAAAAAAAAACTTCATTACCATTTTTATTTATAGTACCATCAAGACTCCTATGCAAAGTTTGCTGATGCTGCTGCTGCTGTTGTTGCATAGCCGCACTTGATATTATGCAAAATTCATCATCTCCCGTATCCCAAGCATCACTAACCGAATTTTGATAATCACGAAAAGTAGCCATCATACCGCCTCCACCACTGCCGGTTTCTGTGGCACTTACAGGATTGACTTTTTTGGGACTAGGTCTGCCTGGTACTATACGATTACTATTTTTCCAAAATGAATTTGTTGCGGCTGCTGTTGTTGTTGTCGGTACTAATAATATGGGTTGGTTAGATGGCAATTGGCTTTGTGCTGCGCTGGCCGCCGCTGCTGTTGTTGCTGATGAGGATGACGATGATAATAATGTTGTAGTTGTTAGGTTATTTGCTGCTGCTTTTGTTGATGTGTTGTTAACCCTGTCTACATTATTGTCCATAATAGTCTGCTTCCACCTTTCCCAAGGAAAAAAATGCAATTTCTTTATTTTCTTATTCAAATTATTTTTTAAACACTTCTATGCTATGGTTTGTTGTTGTATCTTTAAGAATTTCGAGTCTTTAAGTTTTAGTTTAGTATATGTTTTATTAATTAATGTTGTAAAATTCGTAGCTTTTTTCTGATTATAAAAAGAAATTAAAAAAGTTTTTTTTCCAATTTTTTTAGGAAAATAGCAACAGCAAAACACAGCAATAAATCACTACTGTGAATTGTGCATGATAATGACATTTTACAGAGTTGCCGAAATATTTTTGAAAATGTTTTGTTTGCGTTGACGGTTTGCATCGGAGCAGAGAAAGTAGTCAAATAGAAATAAAAGTGGCAATTTTTTGTGGGGCTAAGTAAGTAACTAAGTAAGTAAGTAAGTAAGTAAGTAAGTAAGTAAGTAAGTAAGTAAGTAAGTAAGTAAGTAAGTAAGTAAGTAAGTAAGTAAGTAAGTAAGTAAGTAAGTAAGTAAGTAAGTAAGTAAGTAAGTAAGTAAGTAAGTAAGTAAGAGTAAGTAAGTAAGTAAGTAAGTAAGTAAGTAAGTAAGTAAGTAAGTAAGTAAGTAAGTAAGTAAGTAAGTAAGTAAGTAAGTAAGTAAGTAAGTAAGTAAGTAAGTAAGTAAGTAAGTAAGTAAGTAAGTAAGTAAGTAAGTAAGTAAGTAAGTAAGTAAGTAAGTAAGTAAGTAAGTAAGTAAGTAAGTAGTAAGTAAGTAAGTAAGTAAGTAAGTAAGTAAGTAAGTAAGTAGTAAGTAAGTAAGTAAGTAAGTAAGTAAGTAAGTAAGTAAGTAAGTAAGTAAGTAAGTAAGTAAGTAAGTTAGTAAGTAAGTAAGTAAGTAAGTAAGTAAGTAAGTAAGTAAGTAAGTAAGTAAGTAAGTAAGTAAGTACGTAAGTAAGTAAGTAAGTAAGTAAGTAAGTAAGTAAGTAAGTAAGTAAGTAAGTAAGTAAGTAAGTAAGTAAGTAAGTACGTAAGTAAGTAAGTAAGTAAGTAAGGTAAGTAAGTAAGTAAGTAAGTACGTAAGTCAGTAAGTAAGTACGTAAGTAAGTATAGAAGTAAGTAAGTACGTAAGTAAGTAAGTAAGTACGTAAGTAAGTAAGTAAGTAAGTAAGTACGTAAGTAAGTAAGTGTAAGTAAGTAAGTAAAGTAAGTAAGAGTAGTAAGTAAGTAAGTAAGTAAGTAAGTAAGTAAGTAAGTAAGTAAGTAAGTAAGTAAGTAAGTAAGTAAGTAAGTAAGTAAGTAAGTAAGTAAGTAAGTAAGTAAGTAAGTAAGTAAGTAAGTAAGTAAGTAAGATGACACAGCACTGCTTGTATTTATATTAATTTAGTTTCGATTTTTAAAATGTGACTTATTGGTACTTTACCGTACTTCGACTTGTACCTTTTTGACTTAGAACTTAGAAACATGTAATTAAGCACTTGAGGATCTATAAAAGTGGACTTTTTGGTACTTTTTCGTTTTTCAAAAGGAACTTTTTGAATTTTCTATCATATTAAACCTAGAAACATGAAAGCGTGTAGAGCCCCGATTAAGTGAGAACCTGTAAAAGGGGACTTTTTGGTTCTTCAAAAGGTACATTTTAAGTTTTTGTATAATAATGAACCTAGAAACGTGAAATTAAGCATGTAGAGCCCGGATTAAGTGAGGTCCTATAAAAGAGGACTTTTTGGTACTTTTTCGTTCTTCGAAAGGTACTTTTTGAGTTTTCTATTAAATTGAACATAGAAACATGAAATTATGCACGTAGAGCCCGGAGTAAATGAGAATCTATAAAATTGCAGTTTTTGGTACTTCTTCGTTCTTTGACTGGTACTTTTTGAGCTTGCTACAAAATTTGAACCTCGAAACATGAAATTAAGCACTTAGAGCTTGGAGTAAATGAGAATCTATAAAAGGGGAACTTTATCGTACTTCGACTGGTACTTTTTGAGTTTTCCATAAAATTAAACCTAGAAACAAAAAAATAAATATGTAGAGCCCGGAGTAAATTATAATCTATAAAAAAGGACTTTTTAGTACTTTTTCGTTCTTTGACTGGTACTTTTTGAATTTTTTATAATATTGAACCTAGAAACATCCTCGTAAAACTTGGAGAAAGGATTTGTTTTTAATTTTTAAGAATTTTTTATTCATCCCTGCATAATTTCTCACACAGCTTTTGAGCTTGCTCTGTTTTGTTGTTATAAATAATATATTTGCTTCCAAAATCCCACTTTCTGATCTCTCGGATTCCGTAAACGTAGTTGAAAACTTAGCCGGCTTACAGTCGATTTTAAGCCGCCGCCGACATATTTAGTGTCAGTCGTCGCCGCCGTTAATATTTGTCGGCGCAGGGCTCTGGTTAGAGGTTCTTAAGATTTTTCAATTTTATTTGTTGTTTTCACAAGCGGTCATATTTTGTAAGATCAAAAGAAGAAAATCTGTAATTTTTTTTAAATTATTTCATCATTTCTACACTGAACTTGGAAAAAATACAAAAAATTCATGTTAAATATTCGTCTAAAGTTTGATATTCCACGAAAATTGTTAAAAAATGGAACAACAACAACAAATAATCGAACGTTTACAACGCATATTTGAAACTTTTCTCCAGAAAGATTTCGCCACCACCAGCAATGTTTACTTTGAAAAGCTTATAACACATTTATCGGATAAAGGTAAATGATACTATTTGTTTTCCTAGAGGAAAGGAGACTAATAAAACTTTTTCTTTAACCCTACCACCCCGCATACCTTTTCTTTTGTGTAGAAAATCTTTATGTTTTACAAGCCCCCTTTGCCATGGATTGGGTGGACAAGTGTATCACGCTATTGAATGAGGATTTTTCCAAGGTGAATCCAAAAGTCACATCATTTATGTTGAATTTTTGTAGTCTTTTAATGCAAAACGAATGGATTTTGATAACATTGAAAGAAAGGAATATTATGGATCGGTAAGTAGTATGGAGTAGGTAGGTTTATGGGGGAAGGGGAGACGATAGGTGGTAGGAAGGGAGTAGAGGGGTTATTACCTGCTGATAGATGAGATTCTATTGAGATTATTTAAAATCAAAGAACACTAGTGAAAGAATAATAATTCTGTTCAAAGTTTGCCTGCGTGTGCGATCATCGTTTATGAGTGTGTTTGTTGTTTTTTCAATTTGTAGTAAATTATTTAATAAATTTTTTGTCATCTATCTGTAGAGCAGAGATAGTGTTTTTGTTTAGGTTTCCAAATGGGTATTTTAATGTGTATTTTATAGAGATGTCTGTAGTTAGTAGTTTATAGGAATTTTATCATAATTTCAAGTATTTTGAATATATTTTAATGTTCTTTTCCGTGTAAAGGGATTATAATAAAATTTAGTTTAGTTTTATGTCAAATCTTTGCGTATTATGTGTAAATTATTTTTTGGAAACAAACGCTAAGTGTAAGTCAATCACATAATTATCCTACAGTACGACTTCTGTACTTTTCAAAAATTTTAAATTAAATAAAAAAATTTGATTTTTTCGCAAATTTAAATTTACTTCAAAATTTTTGTGTATTTTTCAAAAAATTTTGATTTTTTGTAATTTTTTTAAATATTTTATTTTATAATGTTGAAAATTTTTAAATATTTACAATTTTTTCAATAAACTCTAATTTTCTATTTTACATTAAAACTCATTCCAGCGCACTTGTCATTATCGAAGGCAATCGGCATCGTTTCAGTCCCTCCATAAAACTCGGCTTTATTCGTCTTTTAGCCGCCGTTTCACGCTACAGTTTGGGTCTAGCCTATATACGCCTTAAACAATGCTGGCATTTCCTTATCGAGCTATGCAATCGCGATCACACTATGTATGTGGTAAGAGAGGCACGTCAGCTACTCTACGAGCTCTTATATAAATTTTCCGTCAAAGCTAAGGATGAAAAAGTCGTTTTGGAAATGTTGAGTGAAATTATAGAACCCATTAAGGAAAATGTCTATAAAGAAGGCAGTGATAAGATAATGATAAATGTTGATGACACAGAATTGCAGCACAGATTATCCTCCAGTTTGGACTTATTATCCTATATATTCGAACAAACCTTGGAATCGGAGGAGAAAACAAATATAACCCATTTGTGTAGAAATTATCACAATTTGGAATTAACCATATGGAAACTGATAGAAATGACTCAGAATCGTTTCTTTTTGTATAAAATCTTACACACTTTGGCCAGTTTTAACTATGCTGTTTTAGTGCAGGACCAATGGGATAAGGGCCAAATAGCTCCTGAAAAATTTACCCGTTTTGGTTTGAATTTCTTTAATAGCATGAAATTTTGTGTACAACGTTCGGAAATTTTAAATCTTATCAAATTGGCTGAATTGAATCATATGCTATGGAAGAAATTGGGCAAAAGGGCACCTCCCGAGATATGGATTGAAACGGAATTGGTTAAATTTGAAAATCAATTGATTACTTTTCATTTATTGCCCGTTTTGGTCATATTACGCAGTCGTGAGCGAGAGGAAGAACTATTTGATAATTATTTAATGAAAATTTTCGAAGTCTCTTGTGAACACACTTTACGTATTTGTTATTCATTTCGTGATATTATTTTACCCTCCGAGGGTACTTCCCTGGCGGCCATAGCCGATTTAGCATATAAGTCTATACACGGTATTTTGTCTATGCAGAATATTTTGGAACGTGAACCGGCTGTAATGGTTTTTCAGGCTATTATTTATGCTTTGAAAGAGTTTATTGCCAATACCAATACCTATGAGAAGAACAATTGCCCCATGGAGGGCAGGGTAGTGCCTAGTTGGTGTAAAATTTGGATGGGTGCTGAATTTATAGTGGTCATACCGAATGTTTTATATGCTTGCCTAATAGGTCTACAAAGTCTCATCAAACGTTATCGTATTTCATGGAAAGAAAGTATAGAATCCACCTGTGTAGTGAATACAGTAGCAGTTATTTTAGAGAATCCCAATTTAACAGAAGGAGTAAGTATTTCCGATAAAATTTTTTTCCATCATGATCATCATACACAATTTAAAAAAAAAAAACCAAGAAAAGAAAATATTAAAATTACTTCCTTAATTCCTATTTTCATCCCTTTGTTATTAGTTGGCGGTACAAGCTTTAAAATTGGTGCAATTGTCCATAGAACATTTTCTTTCCCCTAATATGGCTTTATTGGTGGATAATTTACAAGGTTCGGGTTTGGTTTGTTTGGGTCCCATTATAGTAAAACGTTTTCATGACATTGCCTGGGAAGTAAGAGACAGTACTTTGGAATTGACCACTTCCATAGCAAATATTTCTAGAGTTAGTAAGTAATTTGTAGTTATACACATATTTGGATTCATAATTAATTTCTTTCTCTTTCGAAGAATTCCCCGCTTTTCAACAATTTCTACATGATTATAAAATGTGTCCTATTGTCTTGCAAATGGCCAAAAATGATCAAGAACCTTACGTAAGAGCCTCCGCCCTAAAGTGTCTATCCAAAATGGTTTTAATTAATATTATATGGGACAATGATTTAAATAATCAAGATTTAATCGTAAGTTTTTTGCTAAATATCGTAAAAACATAACAATTAATTTAATTTCCTTTACAGGATCATTTATTCTTTGTCCTTTTCAATGAGAGTGAGGGCATAGTGCGCAAGGAGGCCATGAAGACGTTGGCCACCATTTATGAACATCGCAGAATCCCCCCAAGCTATATGGACACATTATACTCCACCTTGGCCCATTGTGTGGTATCCGATTTACATTGGGAGGTTAAATTGGAAGCTTTGCATTTTTGGGAATTGGAATTTAAAAAACAATTTACCAATCAAGGCATGATTGACGGCACCTTTCCCACCGTAACTTTTTCCAAAGAATATAAAAAAATCGTAACACTCACGGAAAAAGAAATCAATTTAAGAATTTTAAAAGTTTTTAAAGAATTATCATTACGTGGCTGTTTGGGTGTTATACTAAAATGTTTGCAGGAGGAATGTGATTTAGAGGTGATAAAGACGGCTGTTTGTATGGTTCATTGTTTGTTGGAAAAGTTGAAAAAATATAATTTTGAATCTTTAGTAGAGAGTATAGATAAGAATTCTTCACCTAGTAATAGTAGTAATAGCCATAGTGCTCCCACCACACCTCTAACTACACCCAATTCTCCTTTATTCGATCAAAGTTTGGACTTGAAAGATATTTTAAATGAAAAACCTATGGATTCTATCAATGCTAACGTTGCTAATCCTGCCCCAGCACCTCTAACCTTAGCACAACATGCTCAATCCGATGAAGTTATCGAATCTATATTATCTTCTCAAGATATTAATTTATTGGTGGCTTCATACGAATCACAAATGCAATTAAATAATGGCAATTCCCCCACACCATCCACCACCACCATACCCTCCAACAATAGCCTAACACCTAGTGAACAACTAAATCCTAATATTGATCCAGAACTATATAAAGCCTATACTGCAGTAGGCGTTAAAGAATTTATGCAGACAATTAAAAGTTTAGATTTGGAACAGTTGCTGAAAAATCACAATGATTGGTTTTTAGGTTCGGAAAGTTTTATCTCGCTTTTGGATGACATTATCTTTGCGATGAAACAAGAAGATGAATCTTTGTTTGCTGATTGTTATTAGGAATACAAAATATTTATACACCTTACACACTTATAATTTGTTTTTGTTTCTTATTTTTTTAAATACAAGTTTTGTTTTCTAATATTGTAATATAATTTATATAAGTATAAATAAAAATGAAAAATATTTGTGAATTCATTATTTAAAATTAAAACTTCTATTTTATCATCCAAATATCTTAGAAGTGATTTTCAGCTCTACGCTTTCACTTCCTATGGGAAGATTATCCGTAAATCAAAACTTGGTTTCGCATCGGTATAATAAATTCTCCAATTGGTAATTCTAATCCCGTTCTATAAGTCTGCTATTTTATTAGTATCATACCGACGAATCAAAAATAGAAAAATAGAAATACCAGCATGATGTCAGAAAGAATTCCCTTACATTCTGTATAGTGATTGGAGTTTTCCCAATTGCCACTTATAACGTTGGTCTTCCTGACTTCAAAGTCCTTACAACTGGACATCTAATTAATTGTCCCAGTAATAATTGCATCCAATAGACTTATGATATAAATAGATCAATCACTATCTCACATTACCACATATCAACAAAAAAATTTCAGATTAGCACATTTTTCTTTTTATTTAAATTTACTTCTGAGGATTGTTATGAATTTGTTGTCACTAAAATAAATAACAGTAAATGTGTTCGCAGTCTTTTTAGACTGAACATACCTTTCGAAATACAGCGATGCCACATGTTAAGTGTTGCCAAAGCTTTCACCTTAAAAATTTATTGTTACAAGTAAAATATTTAAGTTATTTTGTTTAACGTTTAATTTTTACTTGGATTATTATGGTAAAATTTATTTCATACAATAAATGATGTTTTGTAAATATATTAATGAATATATTTGAAGTCGTGAAAAAAATAGTCAAAAAGTGTTCTCAAAATCTTTAAACAACAGCTCGTTTTAAAAGCCAACATATTTTTCCATAAAAATACCCGTTATCATCAATAAAATATATACAATTCCAACGAAAAAACGCCATTTTGCCAACATTTACAATAAGAAAACGATATAACAGAAAAACAAATATTGCCATACGTAATAAATTTTACGAAAACGACATATGTTGGCAGCACTTCTGTGAGGGACCCACCGTCACAATTCACAATAGTGGGGTAAATAAACAACAACAAAAGCAAAAACAACATACATATATTAAATTTTACACTCATTCTCACTCAATGCACATTTATTTTAGACGGGCGTCAGTCAAATTTTTTAGTTTTACGTTAGTAGTGAGTATTAAACATACGGTTTGACGGCCAGTCGGGTTAGTGAATTTCTTTATTTGATTTTTTTTCTAAAAAGAAAAATGAAGTAGTGCAAATTTTTTTCTATAAAATGTATAAAAAATAAAGAAGATAAATTAATAAATATTAAATGAAAATAAGCAAAATGAAGGCCTTTTTTAATTGAAACAAAAAAGTTTCAAGTCGAAAATAGAGTGGGCAGTCGGGAAAAAAGGAAAATAAGAAAATTTTATTTAAGTAGCAAAAGAAAAGAAGAAAAAATTGCATTTTGCTTATATGAAAAGTGAAAGAAAAATCCGTGGTAGTATATAGTGGTGTGTATATGTGAGTGCGAGTGTGTGTGTAAGTGAAGTTAGAAAAAGAAGAAATACAACAAATGAAAAAAAGGTGGAAAATAAAATTAAGCTTAAAAACAGCAACAACAATAACTAAAAGTGTGTGGGGTGCTTAAGCAGCCGCTAAAAGGCCAGAGAGGAAAAAAAGGCCTAAAATCAAACGGAAAAACAGGAGCAAAAGCAAAATAACAACAACAATAAGAAAAAAGTTTTAATAAAAAGGATAAAAGTTCAATTTGTTTTAAATCAAGTCATTCTATTTTTAAAGTGGCAATTATTTGTTTATCAATTAAATTTTATTATCGATCTTATAAACCAACAACAAAGCAACTACAAAAGAAGTTTATGGAAAAATTAAAATGAGTTCGAGTTGCGAAAGGTGTGTTTTTTCTTTTATACTTTTTTCTTAAATGTTAAACTAATAAGAGTTTTTGTTGTTGTAAATTTAAAGTTAAAGTGTTTCTTTTTCTTCTCCTCTTATTAATAAGTTTTAAAGTTGTTTTTGCTTTTTCAGGGGCCCTGTTTGAAAAAATACTTTAAAATTTATGAATAAACAAATTTAAAAACAACAACAACACCATCATAAACAACCACTGGCGTTGTAACATAAACATTTTTCATACCACTTAACAATTCCAATCTAAACAATAATTAACTAATTACTATATTTTAAAACTTAAATTTTTAAGAAATGAGGTCGTTCGTTGTGTCTGCTTAAACTTAAAAATCATATTTAAATAGTATAAACATATTATTTGTTTGTGTAAATTTTCCTTGACTTAAATTAGCATTTGCAACTCCTCCCTTTTTTCCCCATTTTGTTGCCAAGTTTTTTTTCGCTGCATTAATGCAATTTTTCTTTTAAACAAAAATTTGATTAATCTTTGTGTGTTCCTTTAATTCCGCACTTCCTTATTACAACAAAAAATGAAAAACTCTCACTCTCTTTCATTCAATACTCTATTGGGATTTAATAATTTTCTGTTTTTTGGCCTAATCGAATCGATTTTTTATTTTGCCTATGAACAGTGTTGTCAATTGTAGAGAGGGTTGCTTACAAACATGATTAAAATGGTAGAAATGGATAATAAGATGGTAGATAGATAGATTAGATAATATTAGATGGATAGATAGATAGATAGTATAGATAGATAGATAGAGATAGATAGATAGATAGATAGATAGATAGATCGATAGATAGATAGATATATCGATAGATAGATAGATAGATAGATAGATAGATAGATAGATAGATGATAGATGAAGATAGATAGGATAGATAGATAGATAGATAGATGATAGATTAGATAGATAGATAGATAGATAGATAGATAGATAGATAGAAGATAGATAGAAGCTAGATAGATAGATAGATAGATAGATAGAAGATAGAAGATAGATGATAGATAGATAGAAGATAGATAGATATATAGATAGATAGAATAGATAGATAGATAGATAGATAGATCGATAGATAGATAGATAGATATATAGATAGATAGATAGATAGATAGATAGCAGATAGCTAGATAGATAGATATATAGATAGATAGATAGATAGATAGATTGGATAGCTCCTCGCTCGCTCGCTCGCTCGCTCTCTCGCTCGCTCGCTCGCTCGCTCGCTCGCTCGCTCGCTCGCTCCTCGCTGCTCGCTCGCTCGCTCGCTCGCTCGCTCGCTCGCTCGCTCGCTCGCTCGCTCGCTCGCTCGCTCGCTCGCTCGCTCGCTCGCTCGCTCGCTCGCTCCTCGCTCGCTCGCTCGCTCGCTCGCTCGCTCGCTCGCTCGCTCGCTCGCTCGCTCGCTCGCTCGCTCGCTCGCTCGCTCGCTCGCTCGCTCGCTCGCTCGCTCGCTCGCTCGCTCGCTCGCTCGCTCGCTCTCTCGCTCGCTCGCTCGCTCGCTCGCTCGCTCGCTCGCTCGCTCGCTCGCTCGCTCGCTCGCTCGCTCGCTCGCTCGCTCGCTCGCTCGCTCGCTCGCTCGCTCGCTCGCTCGCTCGCTCGCTCGCTCGCTCGCTCGCTCGCTCTCTCGCTCGCTCGCTCGCTCGCTCTCTCGCTCGCTCGCTCGCTCGCTCGCTCGCTCGCTCGCTCGCTCGCTCGCTCGCTCGCTCGCTCCTCGCTCGCTCGCTCGCTCGCTCGCTCTCTCGCTCGCTCGCTCGCTCGCTCGCTCGCTCGCTCGCTCGCTCGCTCGCTCGCTCCTCGCTCGCTCGCTCGCTCGCTCGCTCGCTCGCTCGCTCGCGCTCGCTCGCTCGCTCGCTCGCTCGCTCCGCTCGCTCGCTCGCTCGCTCGCTCGCTCGCTCGCTCGCTCTCGCTCGCTCGCTCGCTCGCTCCTCGCTCGCTCTCTCGCTCGCTCGCTCGCTCGCTCGCTCGCTCGCTCGCTCGCTCGCTCGCTCGCTCGCTCGCTCGCTCGCTGGCTGGCTCGCTCGCTCGCTCGCTCGCTCGCTCGCTCGCTCGCTCGCTCGCTCGCTCGCTCGCTCGCTCGCTCGCTCGCTCCCTTTTCTTCCTTTCCCTTCTTTGCCCTTCCCCCCCTCCCTCCCTTCCCCCCGCTTCCTTGGCCTCCTTCCCCTCCGCCCCCCCCTCCCGCTCCCTCCTACACCGCACTTTTTCTTTGATTAAATGAGTGAGAGTGTGAAAATCTCATTACACTCGCATAAGAAGACTATTGTGAATGATAGAGTTTTTAATTTGAAGAAATAAATAAATGAATGTGGTGTTTATGTCCTTTTAAGGAATATTTGTATATGTATGTATATAGTGTGCTTGTTGAGTGATAAAGAAAAAAAAACGTGTCATCCATAAAATACCAAAAAGCCGGAACTATTGTTAGAATTGAAATTTTTACTCTTTTTTGCTGTTTTTTTTTAAATGTTATTGCTGAATATAAATTAATATATTTCATAATTAAATTTCCTGCCATTAATTATTTACTGTTTTTGTTTATCTATAAATAAACGCTGTAGATTTATTAAGTCAGTTGTTGCGTGTTTTCTGTTTCTTTCTTTGATTTAATGAATGAATTGAAATATTGAATGAAAACTATTTCTGTGTGTTTTTTATTTTATTTCTTGTCATCATTTCATTCTACCTTTTTTACTCTATTTTTGCGTATTTTTTTCGGAATTTGCTCTTCTTCTTTGCTCACCCTCTCTTTGGGTAAATTGTATATTTTTTGTTGTTTTTAAATTAAAGGAATAAAGTAAAAACTAGGGCGTTGCACAGTGTGTGTTTAAGATTTTTTTTTAAATTTTCAAATTGGAATCGTTTAAATTTAGCTAATTTTATTTTAATTGAGTTTATAAGAATTTTTTTAGCAATGTTAATAATTTATTTGTTTAGATGAGCAATTTTTTTGATGTGGCTAATTAAAAAAATTTAATGAAACTTTTCGAAAATTTATTATTTTTTACATAAATTTTGCTATGGGTATTCTTTAAATATATTGAAATTATTTATTAAATCTGAGAAAGGTTATTGGTTTAGAAAATTTAAACTAAACTTAACGAAACTTTATTTTCTACTCTGATAATAATTAAAATCCTATTCGAATCAAGAAAAATTTTTTGTTTTTAAATATTTATGAAACTTAACGAAACTTTATTTATTACATTAATGAAATTATAATAAAATTATTGGTAGATTCTTTAAAAATAACATAAGTACTTTAGAAATTCAATAATTTTTCTTGGTTTTAGCGATTTTTTAAACTTAACGAAACTTTATTTTCTAAACTAATAAAAATTTAACGAAAATTTTGTTGTATTTCTAAAATGTAACTAAAATATTATTTAATTCTTTAAAACATTTTAGTTTTTGAAGATTTTAAGAACTTAACGAAACTTTATTTTCTACACTAAAAAATATTAAAAGAAACTTTTACCATGTTTATTGAAAAAGTTTAAAGTTCTATAGAAAACTGGAAAAAATTTTCAATTTTAGCCGTTTAAAAAACTTAACGAAACTTTATTTTCAGAACTAATAACATTTTAACAAAACTGTAACTATATTCGTTTAATATAATGATAACATTTTATTATTTAAAAGAGAATTGGTAATTTGGGACATTAAAAAAACTTAACGAAACTTTATTTTCTAAACTAAAATAAAATTAACGAAACTTTTTCTATATTCGTTGTATATAATTAAAGTACTTTACAAATCTAAAAAAATTTCCTTGTTTTTCCTATTTAAAAAACTTAACGAAACTTTATTTTCTAAACTTATAAAAATTTAAGGAAAATTTTGATATACCTATTTGTCAAATAAAATAAAAATACTATTTAAATCTGTTTAAATTCTAGTTTTTGGCTATTTAAAAAACTTAACGAAACTTGATTTTCTTAACTAATAAAACGTTTACGAAAATTTTGCTATATTCGTTTTATAAAATTAAAATTGTTTTACATGTCTAGAAAAGTTTTTTGGTTTTTAGCGATTAAAAAACTTAACGAAACTTTATTTTCTTAAATAACAAAATTAAAACAAAATTTTGTATGTAGTTATTTAAAAAAATTAAATTTTTATTGAAATTCAGAAAAATTTTCTTCATTTTAGCCGTTTAAAAAACTTAACGAAACATTATTTTCTGAACTAATAAAATTTCAAGTAAACTTTTGCTGTATTCGTTTAGTATAATGAAATTATTTTACAAATCCATAGAGATTTTGTACTTTTAGACATTTAAAAAACTTAACGAAACTTTATTTTCTAAATTGATAAACATTTAAGGAAAATTTAGCTAGAGTCTTTGGTAATAATTAAAGCAGTTTTTAAATTCAATAAAATTTCTTACTTTGGTTCATTTAAAAAACTTAACGAAACTTTAGTTTTTAAATAAAACAATTTAAATTAAAATTTTGCTTGATTCTTCGAAATCAATTAAAAATACTTTATGGATCCTGAAAATTTTCTTGTCTTTTAGCGATAAAAAAACTTAACGTAACTTTATTTTTTATATAATTGTATTTAAATTGTTGGGTTCTAATTTCTTTTTAAATTTGTTTGTATTTTTTCTCATTACAGAATAGAATGGGTGGAAATTATCGAACCCCGCACCAAAGAGCATATGTATGCCAATTTAACCACAGGCGAATGTGTTTGGGATCCACCTGAAGTAAGTTATTGTTGTTTCTTTTTTTTTACATTCTTTATAAAAATAAAAAACAAACATTTTAAATAATTTGTTAAAAAAACTCATCATTTCAACACTTTTTTTCAAATGTTAGAAAATAAGTTTGTTTTGTTGTTAGTTTTATTTTTTTGTAATTTTTTTTTTCAAGCAAAAACCATCAGCCAATGTAAACACAAACAAAAATGTGTTCTAATTTATTGTGTTGTTCCCTTTTAGATAAACAGAGTGTTTTAGGAGCAGAGAAAGAGATAGGGAGCATAAATAAATATACCGTTAATCAAAGTTGAAAAAAAAAATATTGAAAACACTGCAGCACACACTTGCATATTTAAGTAGCACTTAAAAGGATATTAACTAGTACTTAGTAGTAGCAAAAGGAAAAAAAGAACAAAAAAGCAATAACAACAATAAATTGAACATATAAAAGAGACTACAAATAGATTTATAAACATAAACATACAAACATACATTCATATGCAAATATGCTTTAAGTATTCACAGTTTTTCTATGCAGTTTTTCTTTTTTCTTTACAAACCGAAATTGTCTTTGTGTTTGATTTTTCTTTTCTTTTGTTGTAAACAAAACATTTAATACACATTTTATTAAAGCACGATTTTTGTTGTTGTTGCTTTCATTGTTGTGCACTTGGTTGACGTTAATGATGATCATGATGTTAATGATAATGATGATAATGTTAAAAATAATAAATATGTTTGTGTCTCTTTGATTTTACAAGAGCAGTTTTTGTTGTTTTTGCTATTACTCTTGTGAAATGTGAGCAATTCCACTCCAATGATAATGACATCTGTTCAGTGCTATCTATATATAGATTGAATTTATTTATTTTTTATTTTTTTTTTTCATCTTATGTTTTCGCTGTTTTATCTTGTATTTTTATTTATTTACTTATTTTTTCTATTTACTTTTGAAATTTGTGACTCTACTTAATAATAGAAATACAGATTTTTAATACAATTCAAATCAAGAAATTTTGGGTTATTTTGAGAATTAAAGATAAACTGAACTTTGTTTTCTATTTTAATCAATTTTCAAATTCGTTAAAAATAATTGTAATACTATTAAAATCTAGGAAAATTTCATAATTATTGACAATTAAAAAACTTAACGAAACTTTATTTTCGAAGCTAATAAAAATTTAACCAAACTTTTGCCATATTTGATAAAAATATTTTAGAAAATTTTAAAAAAATTTTAGACATTTTAAAAACTTAACGAAACTTAAGTTTTTAAACTAATGAAAATTTTAAAAAACTTTTGCTGTATTCGTTTAATGAAAGTATTTTACAAATCGAGAACAAAAATCGTAATTTTGGTCACTTAAAAAACTTAACGAAACTTTATTTTCTAAACTAATTATATTTAAAGAATTTTTTTTTCGTATTCGTCGAATATAATGAAATTACTTTAAAAATCTAGAAAATTTTCGTAGTTTCGGATATTTCAAAAACTTAACGACACTTTATTTTCTTAAATAATAAAAATTCAACGAGACTTTAGCTATATTTGATAAAAATACTTAGAGTATTATTGAAATTTATAAAAAATTCCACATTTTGGATATTTTAAAAACTTAACGAAACTTTATTTTTTTAACTAATGAAAATAAAACCAAACTTTTGCTTTATTCATTTTATATAATGAAAGTATTTTACAAATCGAGAAAAAATTCGCAATTTTGGACATTTAAAAAACTTAACGAAACTTTATTTTCTAAACTAATAACATTTTATGAAAACTATTGCTATATTTGTTTAACATATAGAAAGCTCATTAAAATTCTGAAAATTTTCGTAATTCTAGACATTTAAAAAACTTAACGAAACTTTATTTTCTAAACTAATATATTTTTAACAAAACTTTTGTAATTTTTATTGTAAATAGTTAAACTTATATTGAAATCTAGACACATTTTTTAAATTAAACTGTTTGAAAAACTTAACGAAACTTTATTTTCTAAACTAATAATATTTTAACAAAACTTTTGCCATATGCATTGAAAATAGTTAACTTTCTATTGAAATCCAGACAATTTTCTTTATTTTAATCGTTAAAAAAACTTAACGAAACTTTATTTACTTTACTAAATTCAAAATGTTCTCTTTTTAAACATAAAGAAATCTCAAGAATTCTATAATTTCGTTTATATGTTATACTGCCTCTCTTTCCTTTTGTTTGCCTATCAATTTGTCAAATATACCAACTATTATGACCTAACTTTTCTTTTTTATTTAAATAATTTATTGGCATATTTTTGCAAATGTCTATACTTTCATCAATGGTTAGGATTCTTTGGTATATCCATCTTCTTCTTTATTTTGTGAACAAACTATTTTATTGACAAATATTCTTTCTAATGTCAAATATTGTCAACTCTTTTTTCCTCTGTTTTTTTCCCATTTAATTTGCCATTGGCATCCTTTTTTATAAACAAAATAGTTTACAATACTGCCACAGCTAAATAAATAACATTTGACTTTGTTTCTTTTTTTCTGTCACTCTCTTCCATTGTTTTGTTTATTAATTAACTGCTACTGTTTTGTAATCATTGTCATCATTTCTGTCATCACAATTGTATTGACTTGTATCTTTTGTTTAGGGTTTCATTTTTTTGCAATAATTTATTTTTTTTTTCGATTTTTGTCATATTGTTGTTAATAATAATTTACATGTTAATTGATTTTAATAAGCTGCTAATAAATATTTTGTTTACACCTACACAGTGTGGTTTTATTGTTTAATTTTTTGTTTTTTAGTAATAATGTGTTAAATTTATGTTTTTTGTCTATTTTAGTGTTAAAATGTTTAATATTTTATATGAATTATGAGATCTTATTTAAGTATATTGTTTTGTTTATTTTGGAGCGTATTAATAAATTATATGTTATTATAAGTTAATGTGCAATATTGTTCAAAATATTACTTAAGTTTTTGGTGTAAGAAAAATAAGATTATGAATAGAGGGCATTAAGCCAGAAAGTTTTTTTTTATTTAGGGAAAAAAAAAACTGAACAAAAAGTGAAATAGAACTTAAGTAGTAATAGTTTTGATATTATCTAGTAAGTTATTGAATTTATGTAGAACTCAGAATTCCAGAATTGAAATAGACTTTGTTCAGAACTGAATTAGAACTAGAACTGAACTAGAACTGAACTAGAACTGAACTAGAACTGAACTAGACCTGAACTAGAACTGAACTAGAACTGAACTAGAACTGAACTAGAACTGAACTAGACTGAACTAGAACTGAACTAGAACTAAACTAGAACTGAACTAGAACTGAACCTAGAACTGAACTAGAACTGAACTAGAACTGACTAGAACTGAACTAGAACTGAACTAGAACTGAACTAGAACTGAACTAGAACTGAACTAGAACTGAACTATAACTGAACTGAACTAGAACTGAACTAAGAAAACTGAACTAGACTGAACTAGAACTGAAACTAGAACTGAACTAGAACTGAACTGAACTGAACTAGAACGGAACTAGAACTGAACTTAGAACTGAACTAGAAACTGAACTAGAACTGAAACTAAACTGAACAGAACTGAACTAGAACTGAACTAGAACCTAGAACTAACTAGAAATGAACTAGAAACTGAAACTAGAACTGAACTAGAACTGAACTAGAACTGAACTAGAACGGAACTAGAACTGAACTAGGAACGGAACTAGAACCTGAACTAGAACTGAAACTAGAACTGAACTAAAATGAACTAAAATTGAACTAGAACTGAACTAAATTAACTAGACTTGAACTAGAACTGAACTAGAACCTGAACTAAAACTGAAGCTGAAACTAGAACTATAACTGAAACTAGAACTGAAACTAGAACTGAAACTAGAACTGAACTAGAACTAACTAGAAACTGAAACTAGACTGAACTAGAACTGAACTAGAACTGGAACTAGAAACTGAAACTAGAACTGAACTAGAACTGAACTAGAACTGAACTAGAACTGAACTAGAACTGAACTAGAACTGACTAGAACTGAACTAGAACTGAACTAGAACTGAACTAGAACTGAACTAGAACTGAACTAGAACTGAACTAGAACTGAACTAGAACTGAACTAGAACTGAACTAGAACTGAACTAGAACTGAACTAGAACTGAACTAGAACTGAACTAGAACTGAACTAGAACTGAACTAGAACTGAACTAGAACTGAACTAGAACTGAACTAGAACTGAACTAGAACTGAACTAGAACTGAACTAGAACTGAACTAGAACTGAACTAGAACTGAACTAGAACTGAACTAGAACTGAACTAGAACTGAACTAGAACTGAACTAGAACTGAACTAGAACTGAACTAGAACTGAACTAGAACTGAACTAGAACTGAACTAGAACTGAACTAGAACTGAACTAGAACTGAACTAGAACTGAACTAGAACTGAACTAGAACTGAACTAGAACTGAACTAGAACTGAACTAGAACTGAACTAGAACTGAACTAGAACTGAACTAGAACTGAACTAGAACTGAACTAGAACTGAACTAGAACTGAACTAGAACTGAACTAGAACTGAACTAGAACTGAACTAGAACTGAACTAGAACTGAACTAGAACTGAACTAGAACTGAACTAGAACTGAACTAGAACTGAACTAGAACTGAACTAGAACTGAACTAGAACTGAACTAGAACTGAACTAGAACTGAACTAGAACTGAACTAGAACTGAACTAGAACTGAACTAGAACTGAACTAGAACTGAACTAAACTGAGAACTGAACTAGAACTGAACTAGAACTGAACTAGAACTGAACTAGAACTGAACTAGAACTGAACTAGAACTGAACTAGAACTGAACTAGAACTGAACTAGAACTGAACTAGAACTGAACTAGAACTGAACTAGAACTGAACTAGAACTGAACTAGAACTGAACTAGAACTGAACTAGAACTGAACTAGAACTGAACTAGAACTGACTAGAACTGAACTAGAACTGAA